CCTCCTTGAGAAATCAGACTTTGGTTCAGTGACTCTCCCTGGCTTTGCTTTGTCAGGAGAGATGGGGTTTTGGGCCTGATTAGGGAACAGAGCAGGGCTGTGGCTCCAGGTGACTGCTGTCTTCAGACATAATCCTCTGATCAGCACTCAGCATACACCCTTACTGCCCTGGTCCTGGAGGCCTTAATAAAGAATCACCTTTATCAGTGTATATCAGTGCTAAAGGGCAGTTTCCAAGAGAAGTCACACAGGTCGGCAAGGAGGCCTGATACCTAAATTCACTTCTAAAAATAAGATTAAAGTCAGTGCTGGAACAGGCAAAGGGAAAATAACTTTTAAAGTAAGTATACTGTAATTTGATAAGAGTGTGTAGAGGTTCATAGGCACACAGAGGGAGGCCTGGGGCAACCTAATGACTTTGCAGGAGAAGCAACATTTGATGGGGCTGTAAAGGCCCTTCATGGTCTGGAGTCTGGGCTCTAGGAATGGCTCGTTTTTCATTTGGCATTTCTCCTGGAGGCATTCTTTTCTTCCCATTGCCCTGGCGCCTTTCTACTCTGGGCAAGAGCCTCCTCCTCTCATGTCTGGCTCCAGACCTCCAGGCCATCCTGCGGTCCTGCTGGTCTTACTAAACTGCCACCTTTTCTGTGTCACTTCTCTCTCTGGTTTCTTGCTGCTTTTAATTCTCCACAGTTGCATTCAAGGGTCTTCTTATCATCAGATAGGATTTCTCTGTTACTTAGCTCCCAGCTTACACCCTTGCTGGACAAGGCTGGACACTGTACCTTATAGACACCAGATTTAGTTTCTCCTCCTTTTTTGCTCCTGTTGTTTCTCATATCTCAGCCTATTTGCATGGCATTGTCCTTTAGAGCAACCTGAGACTTCACCTTCCATATGCCTGATTTGCTAACTCTAGCTCATAAGGACCACTTATAATAATTTATTTTTTTGCCAGAACTTTTAGCATTTGTTATATAAAAGGATCACAAAATTTAATTCATGCTACAACTTGTATATGAAGTTAAAAAAAACTTAAAATTTTCTTATGACAAAAAAATAGCATTTTTCTGTGTCCTTATGGTTATGTGGTGGAGGGAAGAATTAACTAAATGTCTAATCCAAATTAAAGCTTGGTCCAGTGCTATTACATAAATAGTCTCTTAGGTAATAGTCTGTCTCTCTTGCATAAAATCAGTTTATTAGATAATCTCCTTGTCTGGGCTTCTCTCCATAAGTTGTCCATATGAGAGGTCCATGCCCACGGTTTTAGGAGGGAAAGGAGACCCCTGTTTTCAGGAAGGTTTGTATGTGGGTGCTAGTTGTCTCCTGTTGAGTGAGGGAAGCCACCTCCTCTTCTTTTTTTGCTTCTCTTCTTTCCCCTTTAACCTCCCTCCCCTATTTTATTTACCTCTTTTCCTTCTCTTCTTCCTTCCTTTCTTGCTCTTCCTCTCTGCTTCCTCTTCCTCATTCTTTTTTATGTGTCCCAGGCTGGCTGTCCACCTGACCAACACTTCTCTAGCTGTGTAAATTGCCTGTATCTGGTGAGAGTCAAGTCTTAATGATAGAAGATCTGTTCTTTACTTATTAACTCTATCTAAATGAGTGTATAATTTAACACTTTGATGACAATTTTATTTCATTTAAATACTGCAGTCCTATAAAGAATAAAACTCTCTTTCATTATGTTTTGTGCATGTAGACACTACCTCCCCAGCAAGCTCACTGGCTGACAGTGGTGGGTTGTCAGCGTGTCACCAAGGGTGAAGCCCATATTAAGTATATTAAATAAGCTAGTGTTGTCTTGAATTTAATTGATACAAAAAAATTATTTGGGGGGAAAGGAAAGCAGAGGAATGTTTGGCATTCCAGCTTCCTAAAGGTCAACTAGGCTATTGAAGACACAAGAATCCCTAGCTTGTCTTGAGCCAGGGCATGGGACCTAGCTGAGCCATATTAGACAGGGTTTAATACTGACAGTGGAAGAATGTGAAGTGAAGGAAAGCATTTAATGTAAGTGGGACACGCCCCCCCCCATGCTTGCTAGAAAGCGGTACTCTATATTGGGGTGCTTATTACTTTGGGAATCAGTTTTGACTCTGTCATATCCTAGTGTGTGTCTTAGGGCTAGTGGCTGAACTTTCTAGGTCATAGTTTTCTCCATTTACAAAATGAGGATAATGTTAATCCTGTCCTACCAAGTTTCAGGTGGTGAAAAGAGAATGCCAGTAATTATCCCTGATAATTACTAGGAACAGAAACCCATTTAGATTAGCTTAAGACCAAGGGGATTCACTGGATGGACATGTGTGTATTTAATGGAATTTAAGCATAAGCAAGCCTGTCAGGACTCAGAAAATGAGGTACGGCGGTGACTTACTGCTATTGAAATACATGGTTTACTGTCTATCCTTTCTTGTAGAATTCATTCTTCTCTGCTGTGGGAACTGGCTTGCTTTCTTTCAATGTGCATCTCATAAAAGAAATGGCCAGTCCAGCCTCAGATTGATGTGAATTCTCAGCTTTGGCTCTTTTGTTAACAATTCCAAATTCCTGGGAATGACTGACCTGGTGTGGACCAGATGTTTGCCTTTGGATAGTCAATTCTGGAGAGGAAGGCTGGTCACACATCCAAATCTGGCCATCCTTTTGGCAAAGACAAAGTCTAGGCTGACATCCTAAGCTGTCTTCTGTTAATCAACTCTTGTTAATTTTGTGAAACTTCACTGGAGTCACACTACCACACATTCTTCCCTAGAGAATGCTGGCCAGCAAGCCTAAAGCAGGGGAAGCCACTTGCACCCTTCTGATACCCTTTCTTTGGGTTTGGAAGCATCAAATAGAAAACTGGCCGTGGCTGGAGGAAGAGGAGGTGATGTAATTTTGTAATTGATGATCTTTCCTATGGCCAGATGGAGGATAAATTGCTCATTTCAACAGAGAAAAGTCATCCAATTTTAGTAGTTTTCAATTTGACTTGTTTCCATCAGTGTAACCTGGTTTAATCTTGTTAAGAAAATAAAAATGTGGACACAATATAGGATTTTGGACTGTTTCATAGCAAAATAATAGGAGTAATCTCAGAACCAAGTTTTTTAATTACATTCTATTTATTCCCTGTCCACTTCCCAAAAGGATTTGAGGCAGTTTATAAAGGCCAAATGCATAAACAGTAAAATATAAAAGTAGTGAAAATGGAGGAAATGAAAGAAATTATATTTTAAAATCTTGGATGATAATTCAGTAACTATTTATGGAAAAATAAAGTTAAATTTCTACCTCACATCGTTCATCTAAAGTAAATTTTGGATATAATAAAGAGTTAAATAGGATTGCTAATCTACAAAGGAACTACAAAAATACATGGAAGTATTTATCCGTTCCTAGGGCAGAGTGAGAAAAGCATTTCAAAGCCAATTAGTAAAGAAAGAAATCGTAAAGAGAAATATTAATAATGCTGATTATATACAATGAAAAATTTCTTCACTTCACAAAACAAAAATTAAATGGGGAAAATATTTTCAACACAAGTGGTAAAGAATTTATAACTTCACTATGAAGTTTAATAATTTCATCTACTTATATAAACAAGAAAAAGACAAACCTTCCAATGCATAAAACAAGAACATAATACAAGAAATTTTTGAAGAATTGAGAAAAGAGGCAAGAAATGCAAATAAAATGCAAATGAAACAATGAAATTGTTTTGCATTTCTGATTGAAAAAATTAGAAAATTATGATATCTAAAATGGGAAGAGGCATTAAGGAAAGGAAACTTATTATGTAGCCTGGATGATGATGATACTTCTCTGGAGGGAAATTTGGAAATACTTTGAATAGTCTATAAGCTATGCATACTTTTTTGTTGTTGTTTGGCTGGGCTGGATTTGAACCCACCACCTCCAGCATCCGGCATATGGAGCCAGTGCCCTACTCCTTTGAGCCACAGGCACCACCCAAAAATATGCAATAATACTTTTTGACTCAGAAATTTTATTTCTAGAAACTTATTTTTGGGAAATAATCAAGATTTAGATAAAGATTTAGGTATAAGAATCTTTGCTATTTATTCTTTTTTTGAATAAAAGCTGTTTCACAAAGTTATTATGATAAACATTTATTAATGATAAGAAATATAAAATATCATTTTTATTGTATCTCTTTAATTAGAATGTTTGTATATTATAAGTAGAATTTAGTATAGTAAAGTAACATTTTTGTCATCCAGCATCTTGCTTTGGAAACATCTGGAGGGAGGAATCAGTAATTTAGTAAAAGACCCCTGAGTTATCAGTACTTGTATAGGCACTTTTTACTATGTTTATGAGCATGCCCTAGGGAGCGCAAATAGACTTTAGAACTTGAACAAGCTACATGTCTGCTTTCTGCCCTACCACCAGCTGAAGGCGGGTTATTTGGTCCCAGTTAACCAGTGGGAAGGCTCCTGACAGGGAGGAAAAGCAGAGGAATTTAAAAACAACCCCCACAAAGAAACAGACACAAGTTTTCACAAAGCACAATAGCTTTGGGCTGAAGTAGGGACAAATAATCCTTTGGAGGCGTTCAAATGGTTCCTAAAGGCATAGATAACTAATATTTTTATGAAGACCTGGAATCACCTGGAAAAATTAAAAGCATTCTGTTTCCGTGTTTCAAAAAGAAGCGAACTGAACTATGCAATGCATTTGAAAATTGATATCAAAGATAGTTAAAATAGGGCAAAATTTGGTGCCTATGTATTACTAACTTTATCTGGGGAAAAATACATAGTGATCAGGATAAATGGAAATCTCCTGTATAGATCATTAGCAGAGATACCAGTGGAATTCCACAGCTATAGATTCAGCTTTGAATTAAAAAAAAAAGAAGAAGAAGGGATTAGGTGGCGCCCAGGGAGAGGCGAGTGGGGTGTGCGTGTTCGGATTCCGGTAAACTGTTCAGCCCTCGGTCTGCCCAGCCACTTGGTGATGTGCACGTGGCCCTTTTTCTCTGCCTCCAGGACTGCCCTCCAGATGCAGAAGACTTTCGAGCCCAGCAGTGTTCAGCCTACAATGACGTTCAGTATCAAGGACGTTACTATGAATGGCTTCCGCGGTACAATGACCCTGTTGCCCCATGTGCGCTCAAGTGTCAAGCGCGGGGACAAAATTTGGTCGTGGAGCTGGCACCTAAAGTCCTGGATGGGACCCGCTGCAACGCTGACTCTCTGGACATGTGCATCAGCGGCGCCTGTCAGGTAAGCCGCGCCTGCCTCCCACGCCCCTGACAGCCGCACCCATGAGGTAAGCCACGCCTGCCTCCCATGCTCCTGGTTCAGGGAGAATCCTCCTCTTCCATACTTTTGTTCGTGCCTATGAAAATGCTATTTTCAATCATTTTATTTTTTTCAGAGTAAAAATGAGATTTTATTTAGGAAGAATAAAGAGAAAGTTTAGAACACTTCCTAAGGAAGTGGGTTTCTGTCTTGAAGGAGAAAAGGAAAGAGCTGTTTTTGATCATTTTAATGTAAAAAAATATTTTAGGGAATGGTAAGAGCCTTTAAATCATGTTTTACTTATTTAAGTGTCAATTTCACCCAGATAGAGTCAAAATATGTAACTTCTCATGATTCCTCTAGATCAGTGATCCCCAACTTGAGCATGCATCAGAGTCACCTGGAGGGCTGTGTCCATAGAGTGCTTGGCCAACCCCAGAGTTTCTGGTTCAGTGGGTCTGGGGGACCCAGATTCTGTTTCTAGCATATTCCCAGGAGAGATTGATGCTACTAGTCTGAGGAACACACCTTGAGAACCATTGCTTTGGAAGGGTGATGTTGGTAGGATTCATTGTTTTGGCTCTTTGGGAGCAATGGCTTATTTACTGAAAACAAAGAAATAAACAAAACAAAAACAAGCATGACTGCATTCCAGCAGATATTCCAGAGTGACTCTACAGAGCTGGGATGTGCAACTGAGACATAAACCCCGGTGGCTTGTGGTGAGTGGGAGGATCCAGGATAACGTGACAGGCTGCTGTGACAGTGTGGGACAACAGGGAAATGATAGGATTCCGCCCTCATCCTTTTGATCAATGTCTGGTATTCCATCTAGCCTACTGTGCTCACCATGAATACAGTCATAACAGCAGCAAACAAACAGCCTGAGCAGTACCTGGAGTCAGGCACTACCGGGAGTCTCAGAATGGAAAAGTGTCCAAATGCAAACCTTGACCTCGCTTTTCAAACCAGCTTCAGCTTTGTTTATCTCTTCATCTAGAAAATGATCTCCAGTTGCTCACTCCAAAGCTCTGGTAACACTCTCCATTTCAACCCACACATCTAACCCATTGCCAAATTCCATTACTTCACCCTCCAAAGACTACTTTTAATTCACCATATCTTTCCCTCTCTGCTGACTTCTCTCCCAGTCTAAGCTCTATCAGCTCTGACCTAAAAAGAGCTGTATTAACAGCCTTCTATTCTGTTTTAGCTCCTACCTTGGTTCCCTCAAATCCATTCTTCACCTGAAACTTAAAATGTTCAGTCAGAACTTGTCATCCCTCAAGTTCTGAAATAGCATCAACTATACAAAGTCTCCCTAAAAAGAAAAGCCCAGGACCAGACGGCTTCACATCAGAATTCTACCAAACCTTTAAAGAGGAACTA